AGGAATGCCTATCTGCTTTTCATTTTACAAGGACACTATGCTCTATTCGGGGGTTCGTGTTGCCCCATCCCCTCCAAACAACACGAATGATAATGTCAAGATAGTCCTTTATGAAAAGGCATGGATCCACTGTGCTGGCCAGACACCCACATGCCCCCAGCCAGTACAGCTGGCAAGAAAGACAAAAAAAAAAGAAGAAAGAAAGAAAAAGCTATCTTCCCACAAAACTAATAAAAGCCATTTTGGTTTTGCAGTTTGTGGGAGGAAGGGGGTTTCCCCCTTCTCAGCATCCGTTTTCTCTTAGAAAATACTTTGGAATTAAAAAGTGAAAAACTAGTTTTTAAAAAACTTTTGAAAGAGCACATACCTATATACCCCCACAAGAAAAACAACTGCATGGAGAGAGACTTTCCACACCAAAATATACTAAAAAAATTCTTTTAAAAACCAGCTTCATTTGCAGTTTTAACTAGCTCTGCTGCCCTTGACCAAGGCACTTGCTCAGGACCATCTACCCAAGGAAGAAGGGTACCAGTGAACCAAGGGTTGAATAGTCGCATGTAGCACTATGTAGCCTTAAACTGAACAGAACAGTCCAGCAATACAGAAGTGCAGTGATTCACTGGACCATGCATCATTGGGATCCATCAACCCATCTACTCTTATTTATAAAAGACTTTTGCAGCAAACTTCCTTGATAAAGGGTATCCATGGATGTGAGAGAAGAGAAAGATTGTAAGCATCTTCTAAAGCAAACCTCCTCCTAAAATATCGGTCCGAGTGCGCTACAAGCCCTCTTTAGTATCTCAAAAGATGCATACAACAAGTAGAAAGCAACTGTGAGAAGGGATGAGTATACAGATACTATAGCCAAGCTGGAGAGGGACCGACTATTCTGGATGTCATTTTTCAGGTGATCAACACCTGAAAATAAAACCTATTTGAACTAATTAGGTAGGCACCTAAGTGTCATCAGTCTCTTTAAAGCCCAGGTTTTTAGGGCTTTTTCTCAAAAGTACCAGGCTGGAATTCAAAGTGCTGTATTAGCAGCCCCGACTCAGGCCTCCAGTATTAGTGCCTGGAAAGTCTGGGAAATGATAAAAATATTGAAGCATTAAATGGACCATTGCAAGCTGGATCCATTTTACTCACTCTCGCAGGAAGAGCTTCTGCAGGACGTTGCCAGATGTGACAACTGTGGCTTGCGGGTCACAACCAAGGTGACTACAAATATCCTAGTCCAAGGCATAGGCTGACACTCACAAAAATATCATGCCAGGCGGAGGAAGAAAGTTATCTACCCCAAATGCGGCCATGCCACAGTGTGGAGAAAGCAGGCGGATCCCCTTTAGGGAGCAAAAAGAAAAATTCTCCATAGGATCCTAGAAAGTGAGGGTTGAAGGGACCTTTGGAGGTCACATTTAGTCCAACCCCCTGCTCCAAGCAGGACCAGCCTTGTCCACCCAGCTCTTTGGATCTCAGCCTGTTAGCTGAGTTTTGCTTTTTAGTCCAGATTTCTGAAGCATCTGGGAAAAAAAAGTGATGGGAAAAGTTGTTTCTAACCTTCCACAGTGTGAAGGTGGAAGCGGCGCAACGTGCAATCCAGCGAGCCTGGTAAAAATGAAGGCCTCGGCATGCTGAGCTAGTGTTGCACTGGCCTCAAGAAGAACTAGAGAAGCGTCTTGAGGACAAGACACTTCATAGGGTCAACGTGAAGGTTGCCAGAGGTTTAGAGCCCGATCTGCTGGGAAAACGCATGCAAGGGAGAAGGGAAATACTGTGCCTAGCCGAGCTGGTGAACAGGCTAGCTCTTCAAAACGAACACCCCCATGGAGCAAGCGATTCGGTGCACGCACAGGCAGGTGTTTAAAAAAAGTCAGCAGCACCGGCTCCGTGCCCGTTTCGGTTATGGGCCCCAAGTAGCAGCGTTGGGACGTGGAGACGCTTTGCAACAGTCGCAGTAGAAGGGCTCAGGCAGCATTTCCTTCCCCCTCTTTCCCAAACAGTGCCATCCATAAACAAGCGCCAGCCGAGCTGAGCGAAGGCCCCCACATGAAGTGCCGGTTTGGAGCTGCCCCTGCATGAGACCTTTATAATCCAATAAAGCTCTTTTATGCAATGTAACGCGGAGCGGGGTCCTGTGAGGCAACGGTGTCCGTTGGATACCTTCTCAGCTCCTCACAAAGACCACGCTGTTCCTTCCAAGGGGACTGGAAGTCTTGTGGGGTGAGCAAAGTTCAAAGGCTTTTGTTGTTGGGTTTTTGTTTTTTTGTTGGTTTTTTTTTTTTGTTTTTTTAAAGTGTTTGCCCAAATCCTTAGCTTTTAGGATGAAATTGCCAACTAGTGCCATGTGCGATTGTATTATTTTGGGCTGAGAGGGAGGGGGTTGCATGTCTTTCTTTGCTAGGACCTGGACTGAGACCAAAACAGCTCGTTTCTCCTAAATCAGGAGGTCCAGCATAGTTTCCCCCCCCACCCAATCCCTATGAGAGGAAGATGAGGGATACAGCACTGGGATGGGGAAAGTCAGGAGACACAGGTAGTCTGCTCACCTAAGCCAAGACAATTCCCCCTACTCTCCTCGCAAGCTTCTCTGCCCGGTCTGTTGAGCCCCGACAGACCGCGAGCAGCATCTATGCAACCGCTGACACCAGAGCCTTGCTTGTATTCATGTACTACCTACAGACATCTAGCATGAGGCTACATTTGAGCTTGACTGTGTCCCCCTGAATAACCTAGGGCTTCTCCAGCCCCTAAGGGGAAGCACAGAGCTTTTTTGGAAGAGGAGAGCAAGACAGCGAAAAGAAAGGGGGTTTTTTGTTAATATTTGAAGAAGCTTGAACAGGAAAGCCCAACTAATGTCAGTCTGTATCTTACTCCCTCTGCTCAAACGCAATCCATCATTTAGTTGGAAGCCAGCAAGGGATGGGACTGGAGGTCTCAACACTGTAACTATCGCTTCCTGGCCAGCTCCCGGCCCGAGGCTGGATGGTAGCAGAGCTGCATAAATTCTGCAATACGATATTGCTAATTGTGTTGCTCTTACGGCCTTCCAGCTGTTGTGACCCTTAAGAGTTCAGCTCCGCTGTCATCATTGTCTTAGCAGGCATCAGACCTGCAGCTGGGGAGCTCCAAGACGGCTTGGTATCTGCAACATAGATTTCACTGGACTTCGAGATCAACTTTCCAGATGAGCTCTGTTTTCAGGCAGGCTCAGAGCCATAAAACTCTAAAAAACACCCAAGTTTCCTCCTTAGTAAGATCTGGCTCCCTCCCAAAAAACCACAAACCCAAGGAGAACAAGATAGAGGTAGGCCTCTGCAGACACCCACGAGAGCATTCCCCATTTGACATGCCAGAGTTTCCTTTGAGAGCGCCGCCAGAGACCCGAGCCAAGGTGAGCTGCTTTTCTGTGGGAAAACGCCTCTGCTACGCCCGCCTGCAATGACAAGTCTGCTGAAAT